AGTTGACTATTGCATGTCACTTTGGAACCTGCACACCCTGAAGAATGGGTTTATATATGCTACTAGAATCAAAACCTGGTACACCAGTTAATGACCTGGAAATATAAAACATGAAAATAGAGTGTTTTCAGTACATCTCTAAGCTGTAAAGTGTTGTTACAGTAACAAAATTTCTCCTAACTTTGATTTGAGATAGCTTATTATTTACTGTGCCAAAACTATTTTTAAAAAAACCTCACTGCTGATTGGGAGTTGCAATGCTAGATTGTAGCCTAGGGGTCAAAAGCAGGTTAAGAGGTCCTGCAGCTTGGTGCTGGTGTGATATTACCTGAGTTTGATGACTTAATCTTTCTTAACAGGTCATGAAGAGTTTGCTAAATTAAGTTAATTATAAGGGAGAAGGGACACATTATAAATCAAGGACTAGCTATGCAAGACACCAGTGGTATTTGAAATAAAAAACTTCAAATTGAAAATTTATTGAGTGTTTAGATGTTACCATTTAAGTAGAGGATCGGTTGTTTTACTAAAAGCAAGTTTTAGTTACTGTTTCTGTAATTTCTTTACTACCCCTCCCAATCTGAAACGCAGAACTTTTTAGTGCAGGTGTATTAAAAATGGTTAGGAGTTTGATTTGACTAAAGACCAGCCTGGTCAATGAATCTCCTTTGTTAGATATGGCTTATGAGTGATGGCAGTTGTCAGTATCATTAGAAAAACCCTTTTGAGTTCAACATGGGGTGGTTAGCATTTCCTGTCCTTCTACCCCTTCCTTTTTAAAGCCACTAGTAGTATTTGTTAAGCTGTATCATTCTTCCTTATCAAGACAGACTTAATTTCAAGCGTTCTCTGAAACTGGTGTTTTGATAGTAGTCAAGTACAATGTCATCCACCATGGTTACTCTGAACCATAAAATATGATTATATGTTGTTTGGATTATTTTATAGTAAATTTTGATAAGTAGATATTTTTTCTGTCTTACTTTAACAGAAAGTATTTTTTCTTTACTTCATAGAAGAAGGTAATATAGCTTGTATTCTGGTAAAAATTCTGAGGTTTAGTTTTGTGCTTTTAAGTTTTAGTAAACCGAGTTAATTATTGGTATTTGGTGTGTAGAACTGTTACTTTCACAGGATTTAGACATAGAATTTCAGATATATGACAAATAACAATCCTTTCTTTTCTGTTTAGTTTGCAGGTCGCAGTAAGAAAGAAACTAAGTACTCTTTGAAGGCAGTGGAAGATATGTTGGAGACTCTGCAAATCACTCAGTCTTAGCTTGGCACAGAGATCTAATATGAAATTTTCCAATACCACACTAACCTGTAATGACCTGTGGGTTATGTTACTCTAGTGCTGTTAAAAGTTAATTTTGTATTGATTATGTGCTATATAAAATAACATTTTATGAAAAGTAAAATGCCTATTTATTGCTGCTATAAGAAATGTGATGAATACCCACTGAAATGAATAACTTATCCACATAAACAACACGAAGAAATGACGTGCTGCACATCAGTATCCTCAGATTTTTGTATGTACAGTACCTGCTTCTAAGCCATAATTTGTAGAAATAAACTTGTTAAATGATTAAGAAAATACAGTGACTTAAATTTATATATGTAGATTAATAACATATGCTAAATATTTTTCTTATTTGCACATTTAAGAGTAAAAACATGCTACCGGGGTACACTTTCTGAAAAATAAATCAAGGAGTGATTATGAGTACACATTATTAGAGAAGAAAGTTTGTTAAGGGTTTTCTTAATGAGTTCGTATCTAGTACTGTAGAAATGGTGAAAACGTACTCATGGACTTTGCTTCAGAAGTGCTGTTGTACTGGCTTAAGGGCACAGACATTCTTCTCTGTGGCTTTGTGGGCAAATGCTTCCATGTCCACGTAATTCTCTGATTGGTGTATGCATATTCCCTTTTTTTCTTCCTTCTCTGTGTCCTTTCTTGTACATGTGTTCCACATGGTGAATTTCATGTGGGTCTCTGTGCTGGTCTCTGCTGTTCTGTGTCCCTGGTATGGGCACCCCTGCTGTTGCTGTGGCTTCTCCACATGGAGCAGGGGGTACTGCACTGAAGGGGTGCCAGGAAAGCTTGCTCAGCTGCCGTGCACTTACTGAGAGATAGTGCTTGTTACACCATCAGCATGAAGCATCCAGCACGCTGTAAAACTCTGTTCTGTTTGTCTTCAGGCACTTCTTTATTTGCTCAGACAATGAGTCAAACACCCTCATTCAAGCATTTTGCACCTCTGATCGTTCTGGATGTTGTTCAGATGTGCACTGTGGCAATTCAGTTGTGCAGCCATCATTTCATTTACTGCAGCTTCAGTAGGATTGCATAACAGCATCAGCGTCCCCTTGTCAAATTCTAGTACCAGTACTGCAATGTTGTTTTCATGGCTGCTACAACCATCCAAGATGATTGAACTTTCAGATTTTGTACTGCCTAATCTATATAGATGGATAAGTTAAAGGCTGTGTATTAACCCCTATGATCCTTGGACTTGATGTAATAAAACACAGCTGAGATCCTTCTTAAAAACAAACCAGCAACAAAAAATTCCTTCAAAGCTTCTAGGTTTGTATAACTGAGCTAGTTTTTGCATGAGACTGGGCCTTCAAGAAGCATGTAGGATCTGACTCTTATCCATGAAGTAGGTTGGAGTGTGACAGAATGGATGCCGTACCATGTGAATTAATTGTATGTGGAATCATAAAATAGCTTAATTCACTGCTGTTTAAATACCAAACTGCAGATACTATATAGTGTTACATTAAATCATCCAGTTCCAACTTGGGGAAATAGTGCACATCCTTTTATAATAATAATTCACAAACTGGCCTTGGAACAGTATGTGTGGCTAGAATATACATGCTTTGGGTGGAAAACATATCATACTTTGTCCTGTGTATTTCTGTCATAGTCTTTGATTGTATGAGTGTGCCATCTAGAGTTTTAAGCCCTCATTAGTATTTTTTTCTGTTGTGCCTACACCTCGTGTAACTTCGTTGCATTTTGAAATCAAAAATAGTGGGAAGTTGTACTGAAGATTAAAATTACTTAGTGTATAACATTTTACCTTCAATACTTAGTGTATAACATTTTACCTCCAATCTATTAAAATTGAGCAGTGCAGTATTTTTGTGCAGCAGGCACCTCCTGCTGAAATATGCTATATATAAAGCTTTGTTCAGAGTCAGCTTTTAATATAGCAATGTCAGACTTGGATATTTAGTATATCAGTTTCTCTGTAAGGAAATTTGTTCTGTTTGTTGTTTTCAGTTATTTGATGACAATTTTCATGTCATTTGGCTGCTTAGAACCTTCTCATTTTCATTACTGTTTAGCATCTCTTTGAAATTGCTATTTAGCAGTCTGATTTGTGCTTGTATTTTGGCAAGATTTCCACATAGTAGAGCTTACAAGTCAACCTTGCAAATATTTCTGACAAATTTGTGTTTTCTTCAAAGGTTAAATAAATTACTCCAATGAAAATGAGTGAGCAGTCTCAAACAGAACTATTCAATTGCAGCAATGGAAATTGAGAGTATTTTTCATATTGAAATTTAAAAATAAAGTTTAAAAATCCTCTGCAGGGGAAGTAACTTCTTGAAATGCCCTGCACTCTCAGCAAGAAAGTGCTTGCTGAGAAGAGAAGCTGTCATATAATATGATCTTTTACTAGAACTGGAAAATTACTTTTTCAATGATTTTGTAATGTTAGGGATGCTGTGTTGCATTAAAGAATAGGTTTTCAGAGAATGGGTTACTTAATTAACAAATGAACTTCATTAAGTTCTGTATTGTGCTCTGACAGTGACAAATGCTACACAAAAATATTATCAAACATTCAGCCTCTTTCCAAAATAAAAGGCCATGTTTTCATATTGTTTCAGTTGACAGTGAAAGCTTGGGACCTTTGCAATGCCAGGCTGAGTAACAATGGCTGTGTCTTTATTTTCTCAACCATGCTTTGGTAATAGGCTTCAGAGGGAGAGCTCACTGTTACCTGATGAGGTAAAAGTCATTGGAGAGCCACCAAAACCTCCAGTTCTGCCTTTGTGATACAAGTTATTGATAACTTCTTCAAAACCTTTTGTCCAAATGTTATGCAATTCATATTATGTAGTTGCAAAAAGCACATCTTGTTTAGAATATATCCCTAAATCTCTTCAGTTCAGTGCCCAGAATGTCTTGCAGTTGCTATTGGAAACTGTTATTAGTCAACGGAGCACTTCCTCTTGGCAGTGCTGTATTTGTAATGGCATCCATGTTTGCTAGTCACTGCATTTACAGTGGAACTTGTATTTCAGCCAGCTTTAGAAGGGAGGGGAAAAGGAAAGCAAATTAAACTTGACTTACTGGCATGAATTTGTTAGCTTCTTGTTACTTGCACTCTCATCTTCCAAGAACACCAACTGTAGCTGCAGTCAGGTTTGCAATAATAATTCTTGTAATTTAAGAGCTTCTATATATTCAGCTCTAAACTCAAAACTCCGTTATAATCTAAACCATAGAGATTCCAGTGAAACAGTGCTATGTGATGTGCACATACCTCTGTGCAGGAAAGGAATACACCCACCCTTCTTCAAGTTGGTGTCAGAGTAGAGGAGCATTATTACAGTTTTTGACTGTGGTTTTATCTATAAAATTAATGCAGCTTAGTATTTCTCAAAACATTGCTTAGTACTTGTTCAGTGTATGAGTAGAATGTCAGGACTGTTGCTTAACTACAGCAAGTAGTGTCCACTACTTAACTACAACAAGTAGTACAGTCCACTGTACTACTGGCTGCAGTAGTACAACAGACTACTTAAGTCTAGCCAGAGAGTAGTTATCAGGAATAAATGGGTCTGCCTCTTAAACTGAAAATAAACCCCCATCAACAAAACCCAATCCCTGCCCCCCAAAAAAACAGAAAAAAACACCAACCCCCCCACCAAAGCAACAAAAACCCAACCAGCCAAAAAAAAAAAAAAAGAAAAAGCAAAAAGCCAAACCAAACAAACAGAATAAAGCCACCACACAAAAAAACCCAGAAAAAACCCCCAAAGACAAATAGAAATCAACCCCACCAATATCACCTGGTAAAGTTGTTTTTCAGCTGCTGGATGTGAAATGAAAAACTTTTATCTGTGCATTTTATAGGTGAATTTATTTTGCCTTGTGATGAGGAAGTCCCTTGTAATAAGCAGTGCAATCCTTTCAGTGCTTATCAGGAAGGAAGGCTGGAGAAGCACACAGCCTGTTCAACCCAATGCCATAGTAGTTTCCACTGGCATGTTGCTAAGAACATGCCATTCATCTGCCCTCAGGATCCCAGAGCTGAGCAGTCATGGTGAAAAGGACTAAATGAGCCTGGCCTGGCCCAGCCCAGGGCCATGTGCTCACAGACCCAGCACAACACCTGAGCTCTGCCCAGCTCACTAGGGCTGCACTTTGCCATGAGTCCCCGAGTCTCCCCACAGGATCTTGCTTCTACTAAGGACTGTTCTGTCCTCTGCTTTGCTTTTCTCCCCTTGGCATCTCCACAGCTGGAGAATCTTGCAGATCTGCTTTTGATTTGGGACTGGCGTAGAGGCGAGGGATCAGTTGCTGGAGTGATCCTGGCTCTGTGAAGGTTTTGTGCACTCTTGGCTTCAGTGCACTGAATGACCAGTGCACCCCTAAAGGTCAGTGTGTAAGGTCTTTTGCTTTGGACTGAGTCTGCTCAAACCCTTTGTGGGTGCCTGACAAAGAGTGCCTGAGGTTGGATGTGATCTGTGTTGAATGACCTGGAAGTGGGGAGATCTGTTACAGTGACATGGCGACTGCAGTTTGGGTCTCAGTCACTGGGCCTTTGTGTGTGTGTGTGTGTGAAACAGCATGGGGTGAATCACTTCAGGAAAACTATTCCAGCTGGGAGGCTCTTTATCCAAGTCAAAGGGATGGCTGGAGGGAGGACGAGCTGCCTTTTCAGCTTGAGTGAGTGAGCAGAGGTCCACTAGCTCTCTGCCCTGTAGAAGGTGACAACATCTGCTGCACTTTTGTATTGCCAAAATAATAATAGGTGCTAGGTTGTGTTTAAAATAAAAAATTGTGATGCAAAAATGTTTCTCTCATCATCCCTGTGTATTTTAACTGCTTTCAATGTAAACTTGATGTTATGATTCCTCATGACATGTGGGTGGCATGTAGGCATCTCCCTCAAGGCAGTGGAGAAAGACACATTTACAGTGACTGCTCACATGGGGAGTTTCTGGTGGGGTTCCATCATGGCAGGCCACAACCTGTTTGCACTTCTTGTCTCATAGATGGAGCTTGCTCAAATAACTTTCCTCTTAGGATCCAGGCTAATTTTCCCCAGAGAAGGAAGGCTCTTTTCCCAAATTTATACTTTTTTTTCTGTAGCAAGCTTTTAGGTTTTGGTCATGATGTTTGGACGTGAAACTTTAAACCAGGCAGATGTAATCCTCCCAGGGAGAGACTGCAAAAATCAACAGTGAAGCAGTTTCAAAAAAGTGAACAGCAAGTAAAATTAACCATTGCCTCTGTTTATTTAGGTAATTGAGCTTGACACCATGGTGTGTCTGACAAGTTGGTTTGTGTTTTTTATTCCATTAAATACAGATATGACACTCATAGCTGTCACTGCCCATCTGAGAATGTTTGTTTCAGTTTAAACATGGAAAACTATGTAAATGTGGATAGATCACGAGGTGGACAGCAGTAAAAAAACTACCCAGTAGAACAGTATCTCTTTCCCTGGACAGCTGTTGCAGTTTACTCTGTTTAAGTTAGAATCAAGAATGAAAGCCATAAAAATTTATTATAAATCTATTAAAAGTCAATAGCTGCTGTCTCTTCAGTTCTGAAATCAGTGTTGTTACTCCTTTTTTTAATTAAATTATTATTCTTTGGGCTGCTTGGCCATTATTAGGCTTTATTGTAAGCCTGAATGTTTGAAAGATTCAAGGAGAGGATGCAAACTCTGATAAATCTATAAATACCCTGGTATTTATGCAATTGAGATAAACTGTATATAAAATGAACACAGAATTTCTGTTTTAAACATATCAATACCATTTAGTGCCTTGTAACAATATTGTAATTGTAGTCATGCCAAGCTTTTTGATCAAAACTTCCCAGAAATGTGATGTCTATATAGAGCCAAAAGCTCTAATAAGCTTTTAAGTAAAATTTGATTTAGTTAAGTGTAGGCACCACCCAGACTTAGAAAGGAGCCTTTGCTAATACAGATAATTTGCTCCTCTTGGGAAGCTCCCATATTCAGGTAATTCTGAGCCTGATAGCCATAAGAAAGAAACAGCTACAACTATTAGAGTAGTTTAAAAGAAAATCAAGGCTTTTCCACATACAAACCATCTTCTCAGTGGAGATGTAGATGTGGTTATTTGAGACCAAATCAATACATGACACCATCATTGGAACTGGATGGAGAAGCCTAACAAGAGACAACTGATTTTTTTTTAGAACTTTTTTTTTGTGTGAAGTTTGCTGAAGAAAAAGGAAGTTTGGTGCTTCAGCTGAATACATAACAGTGAATTTTGGGGCTGTGGACAGACAGGCTGGTGGGTGGCTGGAGTCAGTGCAAGGAGCAGTGTCTTACACTGGTTCTGGGTTGCTAACACCTGGGCCTTCTATGTCAAGGCAGTAGGGCTTGGTAGCATGCTCCAACATTTGTGTTGGGGATTAGAACAGACCTTCCTGTGTCTTTTCAATGCCCAACCATCATATTCAATCTTCTGAATGCCCAATAACATGAGCAGTGCTTTAAAAAAAATTCTAGTGATTTCCCAGTGCAGAGGAGATCAGTGATCCAATTTAATCCTTCCAGCTCTAGGCAGCATTCATACAAATATTTTGTTCAAAATGAGATCCTGGGCCCTATTCCTGGATTCTTATTTAGACAACAAAATTAGGGATGGAATTCTCCAAGTCATCACCTCCCAGCTGGCCTTGCTGGTGTTTTCTTGATTCCAATTTTTTTTTTAATCAGACCACATATTTAAGTGCTTAAGTGCTTAGACATGGATTTTATTCTTAAATTTAGGCACCATTTTTAAAAAATATTTTATTTTGTGTCCTTCATTTGCCAGACTCCTAAGTGGAAGCAGAACAGATATTATCTGAATCACCCAGGCTCTGTGTTTGTAAGCGTATGAAGAGTAACTTTTCATAGACAGCCATCTGCACCTAAAGTGGAGAAAGAAAGCAATGGAAGTGATTGCTGTCTAAAGCAGTAGGATCAATATTTTAAACAAAATTATTGCAAAAATGGCTACAGGTACAGGAAATTGTAGGAGCTAGTGAGGTTAGAGGTCTGCTTGAAGTATGGAAGGTATAACAAAATCTGTGCACTGCTGGGTTCTGGAGATGCCCTAGTCCTTTGTCTTTGTGTCTCCACATCTATTCCCACAGTCTCTCTCTCCCCTGTTGCCTCCCACCAGTTACATCCTTTGTGGTGGCTCTTTGGGTCAGGTTCTGCCCATGTGCTGTGGCTACCTGTGACACATATGAGGATGGAGGGATAAGGTCTGGATGGCTTGTCTGTTGTTTTGCCCTGTTTCCTTTTCAGTGGTGGGTGGGACTTGAGAGTGTGTTCGCTGGCAGCGAACAAGAAGCACCAGAAGACTGCCATATATTGGCTGTTTTCACTTACCTCTGGTCATTTCAGGTACATGAGCCAGAGAAATCAAAAGTGTCAGAAGGAAATCAAAAGTGATCAGAAGAAATCTGTGGGACCAGCGTTTCAGTGCCACCATGGGAGTAGGAGGAAGATGAGCACAAACACCCTGAATAAAGAAGACTAAATAGATGGGAAATTATACTACTGAGGAATGGCTAGCATGCAAGAATTCCATATTACAAAAAAATTGAGGTCTGACTGCTGCTTTTGTTCCATAACAGAAAAAAAGAGAAAGCCAAAAGAAACCTTTTCACCACTGAAAAAGCCATACCCACAAGGTTTACTCCACACTGGATTACCAGCAACTAACAACTGAGTCATTTCCTTGTGTGGTAGGAGGTGAGGGTTTATATTGTCTACCTGATAGCAAGAGACTTTGAACTTGTGTTTCTTGTATTCCCAGCAAGTGACCTATCCATCATGTGTGGAGTCAAGTCTCTGGCCCAGAGAGGGTTGGAAAAAAGGGAGAACTCAGTATGAGACAGCTTCTCTTGGCAGCTTGAAAAGACAAACTTTGCCTTGCTTTCATGGTGAGCTTCATGTATCAGCAAACTACTGAAAGGTTAACTGAGCTTGAAAAAAGTAAATTATCTTTCAGACATACAGATGCATCTTCAAATCTTTAAGTTTAGCTTAGCACATTTCTTGGCTCAGACCTCAAGTGACATAAATGGTGCTGGCAAGGAAGGTGCATACCATTGCAAAGACATCTTAAAACATTACTTCATTTTTCTTACCTGCTTAAGTATGGTGGGTTTTCATTTTTTATACTATATTAGCAGGGTTATGTTGATAAATTTCCTTATAATACTGATCTTCTATAAAAGACACGTGTAAATGCTGTTCTTTTTTACGCTAGTAATGTCTTTTGTCTCCAGTCATTCAGTCTGTGGGGTTATTCCTTTTTCCCCTCTCTCGGTAGTTTAAAATATCTCTGATGAAATCTGTATGCAGAAAATCAGTAACTTCACTGGAATTTATCTTTGATTAGGTATTTTTCCCTTGTGCAGTGGAGTTACTCAATCTTTTTTAATGACAAAAATCTTGTGGGTAACAGTAGAGTTCTGTAACCAGCTTGAAGCAAGCTGCCGCTTCCTGAGTTTTGTTACTGGCCTGGCTCTGCAACATCGTTCAATTCAGTAATTCAGCGTTTTTCTCCTGCAGATTTCTCAAATGGAAAATATAATCAATGAAATCTTTTGCTCTCCCAAAAAATCACTACTCATAGGTGTTGCTTTGAAATTAATGCAATGCTTATCAGTTTAATCCTGCTTTACTTCATTAACGTTCTATTACTAGTTGGCTGATCAAGAAGCTAAATCTGTCTGGGGAAAGAAGTAATTTCTCACAGGTAACAAGAAATTTATGTCATGTGGGTCATTCCAGGCAGTGCTTCAAGTGACAGGAGAGTGTAGGGTAAATTTGGCAGAATTCATGTACATTTTATACCGACTCCAGATGTTTTAAACATTCTATGCATTCATTTTAAAAAATGGTCTTTTAATAGTTGAGGTGGTTATTAGTTTTTCTGCTCAAACTGAACTTTAATGTGAGTAGCTGAGGGATATAAATTAGCATGTTTTGCTAACCTAAAAGTTTTTTTATTTATCCATGGTTTATTTTCTATAGTTGTCAAGAGCTTTTGATCCTGTAGTCTTCCTTGACTGTATAAAAGATAATCTGCCATTTAGATTAACAAGAGAAATATATTTGAAATATTTTTTATGCAGAATTTTTATATGATCAAGTGCAAAACAATAGATCACAGAGTAAAGAGATGTGGAATAAAGTGTGAAAAGTCTTGAAGAAAAAAAGAGAAGTGGTTCTGAATGTTAGTGGGGTCACAACTAATCCTGAAATTAATTATTCTGCATACTGAGAGTTAATCAGCTCAGATTTAACTAAGGAGGAGTTTTAATTTTGATCTGAATGTGAACTTGATGTTCTGAGTTTTAGGTCAAATATTATATTCCATTAAAAAACTAATTTATATTTTGTAAATAATTTTCATTTATAATCATAGGTTTCTCTATATTGAAGGTGCTGCATTGCCAAATACCTTGTAATGAGTAGGACACATGACAAGTCAAGTGTTTAAAGTACATGATAAAATAAGAAACTGATCAAAAATTTTCTCTTATTTTTAAACTATTTTTTCATCACAAGTCTGAAAATTAAGTAACTGATTTTTTTTTTATTGTCATTAGGCAGGTCTGCTAAAATTTATGTTAAGAAGTTTTGGCCTGTTTATGTGTGCTGAAATTTGCCAAAATTGGTAATGTGATATTCCATCTTTAGCAGGACTATAGAGCAATAAATAATGACACATGACTGTATGTGAGTGTTGTTAGTTAATTTTTTTGTGGTGTTCATGAAATGCAACAATCTTCCAACCCAAATTCTGCAGCATTAGGCAGCAAGTTGTACTCTGAACTAAACCAGATGCTGATCAGCTCTGTTCCTATTATCGACTTGGGGCAGAGATGGTAACCAGACCTTATTTGCAATGTTAACATTTGGAACAGATTAACAGCATTTAGGCTGAAATGAGAAACCTCCACTCCACTGAAAAGGTTCAAAACATGTAATGCTGTAAAAATCAGGATGTCTGTAGTATGTTAGATAGGAATAAATAAGTTAACTGTAAGCCGCACTTTCTCCTTCGCAGGATGTGTTGTTTCCAGTTTATGAGTGACTCTTTAAAGGAAATGTTTATAAGGTATAGTCAGGCTTAAGTCCTGATAAACCATCTACCTGATGAGGTAAAGTATATCCAAACTTGGTGTGCCTGTTCATTGTGAGAGAGCTCTCCCCAGAGCCAGGCTGTACAGAACATTTCTGTCTGGGGGACAAATCCCACATGCATTTGGGAAGTGCAGAGACTCAGGATACTTTTGACTGCTGGCCTTCTGATACATTCAAACCCAGTGGGAAATGTGACTCAGAGGTCCTGCCAGAGGGCATGGAACACGTGGTAGCCCAGAATGCCACTCTGAGCCAGGGATGTGTCTCTGTGCCTGCTTGTGCTATCTCAGAGGATCCACTGGGAACTGGAAGGGTTCAACAGGAGTGGAGCACAGGCCGAATGCTTTTTAGGCTGAAATTGGGCTAAGCTTCATCACTTTGTGAATATTGTATAGATATTGGTGCAACCATAAGCTTCTACAATGCATTATTTCTGGTGCTCTATTACCTTCATCCTCCTTTCCTATGCTTTTTTTATTGGGAATATTGCTTCAGCAGGAACTGAATAGCAAGCTTCAATTATAATGAGAGTATTTCTGCAAAAGTCAGTCAGAGATGTTGCTGGGTTCTCATTGTGTCACCTGCTGCATGGTTTTTCCATCCAAAGAAGGGCTCCTGGAAGCCTGGACAAGTGCCTGCCTGACATTCCCATGTGTGGTGGGTACATGCTGGTGTATGCTTAGACCCACACTACCCAGGGTTTTGCTCCTGGCATTCAGTCACAAAAATAAAAAAGTTGCCTCCTAGCTTGTGTCCACCCAGCATGGATGTGAGGCAAGTTCAAGGGAATGAGCAGGTTCAGACAGCCTTGGACCTCTGCTGCAGATGTCTGCTAGTTTTGCCTCCAGTAGTTCACAGCTGCATCACACAGTTCCTGAGTGAACCCATTTATAGGTCACCCAGGGATATGGGTGTAGGTTAACTTCCAAAATTTATTATAAAAAGTATGTTTGCCTTTTTCTTGACCTTCTAGGTATTTGGGGCTTATGAAAATTGATCAAGCTGTTATTGAATTACAGGTCAGTGTGAAGCCATTCCTGGCCATGGTGTTGCTTAGAAGCTTGTCTGAATTTCAGTTTGCAGCTGGACCTCTTCTGTGCTCCCTGTATTTTAAATCAGAAAGAATAGTTTCAGATGCAGAAGAAAAGCTGAGACTACTTTGCAAGTAATAGTATTTTCCACATAAAAGTGAAAAAGTAGTGGAATACAAATCTGGTAGTTTTTCAAAGAATGATTTCTTTGAGATGGTGTATATCTGGGAGGCACAAAGGAGGGATTAATTTTCCCCCTCAGGTTAGCAGCTCTTGCCAAAGAAGCTTAGAGACAAGTATTTTATGGCACTGGCACTGCAGAACAGGCAGATGGGTAGCTCTGAAGCATGGTGGATGTTGCTATCTCTGCTTAAAGACTCTGAGCTGAGCTGAATTTAGGGTATCTAGCATAAGCATACAGTGCAAGGTGGTGAAGCAGGAGCAAAATGCCAGCAAATCACTACAGCTCATGCACTGCTGCATGGCTGTGGTGTTAACAGCTGCCACACTGAAATGGCTGCAAAAAAATTATAAAGTGGAAGCATGGCTTCAAGCAAGGCAGAGTTTTGAGAAGAAAACTTTGAAGTCAGAAAGCTTTGTGTGCCCCTTTTTTCATATTTTCAGTCCTTCACCTCTCTGCATTTCTCAATCTCTCAGACACATAGTGGTTCTAAGGAGGCCCTGCTCAGCTGTCATTTCAGCATCCACAGGACCAGTAACCTGGTCTCATT